AACCCGGAACCAAACCCGGGTTCAAAAATATTTCCCGGAACTAAACCGGAACCGAACCTTGACGATTGCCGGGTTCGCATCCCTGAATAATAAAATACTTCATGGGGCTTTAAATTATATCATCCACATTTTAAAACAGAATATATACTATAAATGATATTTATTATTATATATAATAAATAAAATGATTATATTATCATTTATATATAATAAATAAAATGATTATATTATCATTTATATATAATAAATAAAGTGATCATATTACAAATTTCATTTATATATTCTAATTAAAACAAATTTACAAAAATATTAGCCGAAATTACTTAATATATCTAACTATTTTATTTAGTTTATTTACTTTAATTAGATTTTTTTTTATAAATACAGTTGGCGCATTGTAAATTACAAGTTAATACATACGTTAAATCTTATTTTGATGAATTCACAATTTATGGAAGAATTACTTCAACTATTCCTCGATTAAAATACTTGACAATCACAACATAAACCTGTTTACCAAAATTTCCTGTATACTTATTTTGATTTTAGGACTCGTCGGAAATTTATTCGGAATAATTTTGACATATAATCTAAAGGTAATCATCGATTTATGCGCTCAGTTTAAAGTTTTCATTAGGTGTGCGAAGAATTTGTTAATTAAAACGGTGACCCCTGGAAAATGGTTTTGGAAAAAATCGTCGACTATATTTATCTCGCCTTTGGCTCATCAAAATTTGTCATCAATAGATAGAATGCATGGAAATATTAGCACATTCTCTTCCAAAGGAATAAAATGTAAGGTTAATGTTAATCAATATTTGTTAAGGTGGTTTTTCTTATTAAATTTTATGAATGTTTTGGGCTTGATAATTTCGCCCTTGCTCAAAATTTACGGGATGGAGCATTTAGAAAACCCTATCTGGACTTCTAAAGATTGGATATCATATTTAGCACATTATCATTATCCAATATCGAAATCATTGTTAAATGTTAGTTTCTTCATTTATTTACTCTTCTTCGCTAATCAACTGATTGCAATTGTATTCCCATTCAATTACAACTTGTTAGTTAATATTAAAAGAATCAGAATTGCTATGATCTTGTGTCTCACTTACTCAATCATATGGTATTTCCCATTTTATAAATGGTTCACTATTTATAGGACAAAATTATGTACAACCCCAGTAAGCGGAGAAAATAAATATTACACAGAAGATTATGTCTATTATTATCGACCTCGAAAATTTGAACCCAAGGACAATAAATCTATGCATTTTTGGATAACTTACCAAATTTGCAGGGAGGTTTTTGCTTGCTAATACCCTTTTTCCTGATGATTATATGTAAAATTATAATTATCAAAAAAAGTTTAAAAGTAGCTGATAAAATTTATAAAAATTTATCCAATAGTAGACTTACTATAAGCCCACCTGTCAACGAAACTAAGGAAGTTTGCATTGGTATTGAAAATAATCTTGATAATTATATAAAACCTAACATTCATTTTATTTATAAAATTGGGAATAATACCATCCTTAGTAAAAATTCTAATTTAATTGAGGATGGACCAAAGTTAATCAAATCTTTAAATAAAAGAGTCAGCAGTTTAAATATAGAACCTTGGAATAAATTCGTCTAATAGATGGCACTCCAAAAAGTTATCCGAAAATAAGCAACACATAAAAACTTTAACCATCTTAACATTTCAATTTATATTTCTCTTACTACCAATATCAGTCTATCAAATGGTAGTAGATATTTTGTACACGAATAATTCTATGAAAGCTTTAGTTAATACTTATATGATTTTTATAACGTTAGAATACATATACGTTAGACTTTTTATTTTAACTTGTTATTCAATACCAATTACAGAATCTTTGTCATAGAAAGATTGAAGAATTATACAAAAATCTTTTAAAATTAAAATTTTGAGCATTCATAAATTCGTATAGTCATTTAATTATATTTTGTATTATTAATCTTTTTTAACAAATGTTAAATTTTTTGTTTTGTATTTTTACAATTTTATTTATAAATATACACAATATTATCATAAAACAAAATTTCATGGAATTTATTGTATTCAAGCAAAAAATTATAATCGATATAAATATATTATACCATTTTTATCTTATTTAATTTTTTTTATACCTATTTTTTTTTAACCATATATTTAAATGTAAATAAATCAGTTTGTTCCTGATCTCCATATAACATTACTAGTTTCGATAAAATATAATTTCTTAGAAAGGTCTCCTAAAAATAAACTGACCCAATCATACTCCATCCCAGGTAATAAAACCATGCTATTTTTTCTAAATTACAGGATATTTATTTTTTTGACCTAGACCCATAATTTAACCTTAACATTATCGTGTCCAAGAAGTTAATCTATCAGATCTGTAACTTCTGAGTTAGAGGACTGCAACTGGCGGGTTTTCAACTCTCCCCATACTTTCTATTGTTATAAAAAAAATTTAATCCAATCCAGCCTATGATTTTCAGAAGAAAATAAATTCCCGCCAATTTATTTATAAATTATTTTATATGTTGGTCTGGCTCTTTATTTATTTGGAAAAAATTATTAAACTTATAAGATATGTAAAATTATGATATAAAATAGTATTTTCTTTCCTAAAAAATGTTCGAAATTTATTACTCCCTTATCCATCCGATGTTTTTTAAATATTTTTAACGCATCAGGTCAATGTATAAAATTTTTAACTCCCATCCCTGTTGTAGGCTTCACTAGGATCTATCAAGTAATAAAATGATAAAAAATTTTTTTGTTAACTTCAATTTAACAGATAATTATAAAAAATTGGAGGAATTTTTATCCTTATTTTTACCAGATATATACAATGTAACTACGCTTCTCCTACACCTTTATTTAACGAATCCATGGCCAATACTAATTTAAATCTTTATTAAAGCACACTAATATTGGTTCACTTCAGATTCTTCATTTTAACTATTCAAAGACCTCCTTCTGCTCATTTTTCCACTAATTTTTATTTCTATAACAATTTATACGACGGGCTGCGATCTGCGCATAACCATACATAAATTGATGATAACCATTCCAAGAAATGCATGCACCTCTAATTTACTATTTTCAGCATATTTTTTATGCCTGCCATATATTTGTTCAATAGCCTCACTTCTTTTCCAGCAGTATAGAAACCACTCCCGTCACCCTTACACATTTTAGGGCACTTTCCAGCAACACTTTATCTTTAATTCTTCTAAACACCTCTTCCAATCTTCATTCATGTTGTTCAGGAGTTTTTCCATCACCAATGCATCATTTATATAAAAAACTCCTTCCAAGCTCTGGAAAACGTCTGCCATCGCTCGCTAAAAAATTGGAGCCAATACGCGTCCGAAAGGTAATCTACAAAATGATTACAACCCCTTTGGAGTAGGGACAGTTAATAGCTCTTGCACCTTAAGCTACACTCGCTTTTCCTATACCTTCCATAAAATTTTCACAGATTTCTCCACTAGTAGCCCCTCTCCCGATTTCTCCCTAGATATTCCCCCGATTTTTCCTCTAGAAACGATATCTTCCATAGAATTTGTAAAAGTCTCACCTCCTTCTCTTTCCCATCCTTCCATACTACTATCAAAGATAGTCTCAATCCTTGACCATCTTTCTTCACACCAATATTTTGTATCTATACACTCATATTCACTCTTTGTGGGTATACATACACCCCACCACACAAATACACCACAAAAACTATTCGTAGGACCTATTTGAGTGATCCAGTTACATCGATAGACATATAAATATTAAGATCTTTAGGAGAGATTATGATTTCTTAGTATAAATCCTAAATACCAATTATAAATAGCAACGAAATTATCTTTCCACGATTTTGAAATTTATTTTATTAACTATCATAATTGATGTATATGGTTTAGCAAGCTCCGCTTGCTCTGAATTGACTAATCATGATTGAAATAATATCTAGGCAAAATAAATACTCATAAAAGTTTCTCAAATTATAAAAAAGGGTTAAAACATTTCTAAAGAATTTAATTTACATATAAATGATAACTTAATAAAAATTGAAATTCTGTCATGTATAAATTTTACTTCAAAATTTTATTTATTTTATAAAATTTTAAAAAATTAAATATTTCAAAAGATTTTTTTTCGAGATAAACATGATCAAATTGATAAAATATTTAACCTCTAGGATTCTATGGATTGTGCCCATAAACTCCCAAATCTCCCTATGAACACTAATGCGAAATATGCTATTAAGATGACCCCTTCTCCCTATATCTCAATGAGGCCGCTTTAATGTCACTTAAAAATTGCTGTTCGTCCCAATAAATCAATTTAATAAACAAACATTTAATTTTTTTTTATTACACAAGAAATAAAAATAAATGATCTTTACAATATTGTATACATTGATAAATAAAATGATTCCTTATATAGAAAAAATAATTCGATATTTTAATTGCACAATAGTATTACAGTAGAATAAAATGTGTATATACGTATTCTACTGTCCAACAATTTTGATTATGAATTTACGATTAATTTTTTTATTATATTTTTTATTAATATATTGGCTATTATAATTATCTTAAGTTTATAAAATGGTTGCGTTAACACATTCTTAAAATTTTTTTGAAAGTCATTTCGATTTCATGAGTGGAGTTTCAAATTTTATTCAATAAATATTTTTTGAAAGTTCCTTTCGTTCCAACAAATAATCCAAAGAATTATAAGTCTTTTAAATAATTTAAATTTAATTAAAGTGCAGACAAAGTTTAAATTCATTGTTTAAAAGAATTAAAAATTAAGCGATATGGGAATAATATGAACAGAATAATTTAACAAGTTAAGATTTATAATTTATTAAAATGCCTTTTCAGACACAATAATATTCAAAAGGTGAATAATTAAATTAAAATATCAATTTAACTATTGAATTATATTACAAATCCAATATTTAATCATAGAAAAATATATAAAATTATTTTAATTGAATCGTGGAAATATAATTAATTTGTCTGAATCTAACATTTTGAGTCTTTTCTGGACGATGAAATAACTGACACAAGTGACGTCTGATGACTTTGTTGCTAACGCAATATATGTAAAAGTTAAAGATGTAATTAGATGACTCTAGCGTATTACTAATGATATTAAAATTATTGTTGGCGATCCTCCATCTACTACCATAATATGTATCCATGATCAATATAATTGACCCGGGAGTCATACATATCAATAGAAATATCAATACACCAAACATGGTAAGTGTCAATGATTTTTCATCCCTCATAGTTTTAGTGTCATGGATCTTGGGACGAAGATTTACAATGACCCTATAAATTATTAGGATCTTCACCTTTAAAACTAATAGTAATATTAGGGGTATAAAGGTCATTATAATCTCTTTAGTTATTTCGTATGTTCTATATTGATGAGATAATATCTTTATACCGAATCCATAACAAATCATTGATTTTTTGAATAACTCAATATGATTATTAATGTTGTTGCTGATATTATCTTTAAGAATAAAAGAATAATTTTTAGACATATCATAATTTGTTGTTAATGTAAAGGCGGCGTTAATAATAAGTTTTTCGATTCGTCTCTTGGCTGAAGCACTGGACGCGCAATCAATCTCCACCACATCGTATTTCAGGGATAAAGGTATCATCCAACACAAACATGTCAGATATATGATTATGAGTCCTATCCTAATGTTTCGGACTGTGCACCAGGCTCGGTATTTTAAAATGTGGCATATCATGATATATCTATCAGCTGTTAACAAAACTACTATCCAAACGCTTACCTTCAAATAATTTAAAAATATATATTTAAAATATTATATAATCATTATTATATCGATTTCATACAAATCCGTTTTATCCATTAAAACATTTATAATAATATCTTTTATATTTTATTGCAGTTTCTTGCGACATTTTCCCGATATTTATATTTTCTAGATAATAAACATTTAACATGCCAATAAAGCATAATAGGCTATTTAAGACAGGCCATTGATATATGGCTTATAATTTGATGAAGACTTTTATCTACATTTGATTTTATCAAAGAAAATTGGGTATTTAGTCAGATTTTTGATTATATAATTATATTTATGTGCCGAGTGTTCGATCCATACGAGGAGACCTAAAAGGCTATTTTGAGCAGAGTTCAATCACCGGCTATGGTCCATTTTTTTCTTCTAAAACTAACATATGTACACTAGGGAAAATAAATAGGGCGCCAACCTCTTGGGAGCTAAGGAAAAGAGATAGGCATTAAGTGCTATAGATATGAGTTAGGGTTAGGTTATATAAATTTAAAAAAATTTTATTTGTAACTAACTATCCGAAAACTAGTTTGTGGATATATCATCATCAAATCGCATGCTAAATTATAATTAATCCATACGCTAAATAAACAAAAAAAATTTAGCGGTTTTATAGAAAATATGAAAGTGTGAGAAGAGGGAATACGTTTCCGAAATTAAAATTTAGGAATTTCATGGTGGAAAGAAAATAATAATCTAAAACCTAATTCTTGTTTATTCATGTCTTGCAATATAAATTATTAATTATCAACAAATACTTCTTTTTTTTACCTTCATAAAATAATTGATTCCAGCAAATGTTATTCTAACTGTGACCCATACCAAAGCATAAGACTTATCCCAATCATTATTAGTGTATTTACCTATAGTTCTCACGGCATTTATTAGAAGCAAAACGGACACGCATAAATCGGCGAACGTTAAATTGAACAAGTAAGTATAGGAAGGGACTTTAGTACATTTGATCAATCTATGCATGACAATGCATCCTAAAAGATTGCCTACGATACCGTTGATAGCCAAGGCTGGTAGAATGTATACGTTGAATAAGTGATCAGAGTTCGAACGAATTTGCGATATAATAACATTGTTAGCTAAAGATAAATTCGTCATTTTATTAAACTTAAGAGTTATTTTTTATTTTGAAAATATACAAGTGTTTCGGTAGAGAAATAAAATGTGGAAGAAAAATATAGTGATTTTTATATGATTACGTGTTTTAATAAATAAAATAGTGTTTAATTTTACTTCCTTTTTTTTTCCTTTTTACACAAGAAATAGAATATATTAAAAACTTCGCTGGAGAAAATATAATTATTAATATTTTATTTCTTCTTCCTTTTTTTTCAAGGATGACTTTAAAAAAAAATTAATTTCAGAGAAAAATTTATAATTAAAAACGACATTTATTTTAAGCTTTTTAACTAAACTTTCTAATGAAATATTTATGAAATAATAATTACTGAAGAAACTTTTGTATAAATTATAGTTTAAGGAATGTGTTTTTTTTAAAAAATTATCCATAGAATGTTGGTCCTCAAAAATGTTGAAATATTATCATTTGTAATTTAGTAAAGTTGCCTACCTATTGGAAATAATCAAACAAAGTTTGAAAATTTTATTAGTATTATATTAAAATTTATATTTAGTAAGACTTATCTAGTTTGATTTTTTTAAAATTAGTACTATAAATATTTTGTAATAGCATTTTTTAAAATAGTTATCACACTAATGTATACCTTTCATAAAGATAATGTAGGAAGTAGATGGTCTTCAGGAGAAATGTAACTTTGTTCTATACAAGTCGACACATTTGATTAAATCGAAAACAATATTTATTTATAAATAATTTATTCTTTCATATCTCTAAATAAAATAAATATATTAAATAATATCAGCTATATTTATAAAACTCGTAAACTTCTAATAATTCTAGTAGTTTTTTTAAGTCGCTTCATGCGCTTCGCACCCTATTGGACCTTGACACTTTTTATAACGAAGATCCTAGACTTTAGAGATTTGACATGAATATGATAGTTATTAAACCTCAAGTATGAACAGAATTGTTGTTTAACTTGGGTAGTTACTATTTGAAGTGGGCTTCATGTGTAATCCACATAGTTTCCTGAAACTCAAAAAGATTACTGCATTTTGAAGGACATTAGAATAAAATTAAAAATGTCCAGCATGAGTTGCAATGTCAAATATCAACATGATGCATACATCGAAAAAGTGCTTTTTTTAATCAATAGTTTATATCTAAAACAATTTTACATACCAATGCCTTTATAACTTTAACGCCACCTAATAGACCAATTTTATTAAATTTTATTTTAAATTGTATTTTGGGCCATATAGAGTAAAAAATATGTCTAAGAAACATTAAATTAAATAAATAAAGTAGACCTAATATTTCAATAATCAATATGGCATAATTTAGTGTATATAAAAAATATTATTAGAAAATTTTAAAATATTATAAAAAATCACACAAAAGTAAAATAATAATTTTCTATGGCTACATGGAACTTGAATTAGAACGGCATATCTCCAAGCCAATATTTTTACTAAGATAAAAATTTTTTTTAGGGTCATTGTAGTGATCATTTCCAAAAACTTCTTGTAAGAATAGGGCCTCGTGACCTAAGGTTTTAAAAGTGATGGTGAACAACCTAAATGAAATGTATATTGTTTATGGATATTTGTTCCTTTTTGTTTTCGGCGGAGGATAGGCAATTTTCATGCACATTAGATTTGGCAAGCACAATGATGCACATGTAATTCCATGCAAGAGGTTGGTTCATCTCCCAGGGATTAGTCTAAATCCATCAGGTCTCTTACCATCATATTTAATAATGGTTGATTGCAGTGTCTTGGGTTGCTTCCAATCATCTCGACCTAAGCATAGGGAGCATGAATAAGAAGGGACTAATTATTATTTTAATGATAAAAAAATAAAATGTTTCTTCATTATCTGCTAAATGCAGTGGAGTAATAATTTTTCTCAAGGCCCTCTTATTGTTTTTTGGAACCCTATTCTAATATTTTTTCATATAATAAGCATATTAATCAAATAAATTACTATTTACCGTAGTGATAATTTATATTATTTGAAATTATTGCAATTACACAAAGTCCCATCATTAATTACAAATAATGCAGAGGTAATATAATGATATTCAAGTGAATAATTTATAAATTTAAAAATATATCTTCGATATTCCGAGGTTTGTTACGAAATTATTGGTTATGTCTCTGTCAAAAGTTTGGTCCATTGTATGCGCAATTCTTTATATTAGCTAAAATCACTTGTTCTCATCTCTGAGATTAAACTGAGGAAATAATATTTTTGATTAGCCTTAACTTTGAAAACAAAATCCATAGTTGAAGCCATAATCTATAGTATCATAAAGAGATGATATGCTGTTCTAACATTATAAGCATTAGATCCTACAGTGCATTTTGTATTTTGGCTCAATATGAGTATTGTCAAATCTCTTATTATTGCCAATATTTTGATTACTTTACGAAATATCATATGGTAAAACAATAAATTTATTTGAGAATGAACTGCATAAATTTTTATTAAATATATGCATTAGAAAATTTGCTATATTATATAATGTCTCCCCTAATAATTTTACAAGATTATTAGGCGATTAAGAAAATTAAAAGTAATCCAAACCTGATTAGAGATAATAACACCAATAAGTAATATATTTTCCATTTATAGGGTTATTTATCTATTTATTCATGGCAATATCAATATCTTTTTCATCTATCAAATAATGTAAAAGAGGGTTTAAGATGTGTTTGGGTAATTTCATGAAGTTTAATTTATTTTTACTCCAATGATTTATTTCCTTTACATATATCTTTAATATAAGTTATCATACGCTATCAAAAAATATAAACAAGGTCCATAATAGATATTTAAATTTATGAAGTAGTATAGCTAACTCTTTTATATGATTTCTTCATGGGTTATAAAAAAATTATACATAATATTTGACAATTTTCTCTGCGTTTTATAATTAATTTGAAAAGTATATTGATAGTGTTGTATGCAAATATATATTTAGTTGAGCCCTTCTTAATTGGGTGGTATTCAAATTTATATAAATGAACTTTCATCGTATGCAAATAAATATAATTATTTTAAAAATGTCTATGAATATGAATATTTTGGATTATAGTTGAAAAAGAAATATATAATTTTTCATTACTTATTTTTGTTATGAATTTTTACGAAATTATAATTTTTGGAATATTAGAAGTGGAATAAAATAAAAAGATTAGAAATAAAGGAAAATCATTTTAGGGTATTGAGTAAGATCACCAAATTCAATAAATTATATATATATTACATTATGTTCAGTCTCTCCCACTAGCCTCAGCAATATAAATATCAATCCCATATTGGTACAGATAGAATTTTTTAAAATATATTTATATTAAAAGGTAAATCTTGCCAGGTCAAAATAAATCTAAAATTTTATCTGAACTTTCAGATTCAATTAATTTAGCCTTTTTTAAACCCTTAAATTTTCATTTATATTAGTATTTTCTATAGCCGGTTGAAAATTTTTAAAAAAGTGAAGTAATGAAAATGCAATTTTGGCATCCCCCATTCAAACAATCAGTTTTTTTTTAAATAGGCAATATTTTATTCTTAGTTTTAATTTTTACTTCTTTGTAATAGATAGAATTATTATATTTATTAGAAAGCAGGGCCGTAGTATTTTTTCTATTTTTATTAAAAAATTATTAATGTTATATGAATACAAAATAATACTACAATATAAATATACAAAATAATATATAATATATACGACAATTTTTTAATAAATGAATTAAAAGATTAATTCATAATTCTTTTTTCATAAGCCATTAATACTACATTATATTTACGTTGATCTATCATCGACTCTCTAGTGCTCGATAGAACTCTCACTAGTGTAGAGAGTGATGCTTCACAAGAAGCCGTTGATACCCCAATGATGGTCGCTGAATAGTATTTATTAAATTCTTTAAATGTAAGATGATATTATTTTTTATACATAATATTTTAGGATATTTCAAAATTATGTGTTTCTTTAACTTCTGCAGCTAATAATCCTTTAGGGGCCATTTTATCCGATATAAAATAATCACTATCAAAGGGGGACAATACATTGAAACTTGATAGAAGATTATATCTTGTGTAAATCTATCTAATAAATTATCAACAAAGTAAACAATAATTCCTTTTAAAGAACTCTAATTGGAATCTTTTTCACAATCAAATTATAATTTGATCTCGACTAAAAAATCTTGAAAATTTATAGGCGTTTTACGTATCCTTGATGATTTAGTAGATTAAATTTTGCTAAAAGTTTTTCAGCCTTTATTCTAATTAAATCAATTGAATTATTGCTTCCTATATTTTTTAAATATATTGATCCTGGAATCAATATAATATTTAGCATCCACTTGATAAGTAAATACCTACTGACTGTAGATACTTATATAGTGGATCTATTGTTATTAATATCTCATAAATTATAATAACTAATATAACGTAATTTATATTAACGTATAGTCCATTCAATCGATTTTGAGATGTGGTCCGATCAAAAAAGGAAAAGGGTATGCTTTGAGGTTATTGTAAAACGAAATAAATAAATCTTAAAGATGGGTTTTTTGTACTATCATACAGAAATAGATCTTTTGACGTAACTTGAATGTATATAAGGTTTATTTTTCCCCAGATAAAATACCAGAGGCTTAGACAAAATCATGAGTGGAAACCTCTGAATTAAGAGCTTTAAAAGTAAACTAATATTTCACCAATAGCCTCAAAATTAACATAAAATGCGAGATGTTTATAAATGGCTAGCCCACCTCTGGTCCAAAAGTCTTTTAAGTATAGCATGCTATTTACAGGATACGTTAAACCGCCTAAAAAATTATGCAATGCATTGAATAAATTTAAAAAAATTAGAAATGATAACAATATTATTATACCAATTTTTAACCACAAAATGCAACATGTGGTTTGTATCTTTTTTATTAGTTTTTTTTTGAAGTAGGGTTTGCATTCCTCCATTTCGGCCAGACATAACGTTTACACC